TGGAGCTTTGCTGCTGCTATTGGTTTGCAAGGTTGTGCTTGGTTTTTGATGCTTTGAGGTATATCTTCGTCTACAAGTCTTGTGAGTGTGACGTAGAAGCAACGCTCAAGGCAAAGTCTTGGTGGTAAAGAGCTACTCGATTTCCTGTGTGCATTTGAAGAAGCGAAAAAGGACGGGCAAGAGTGGTACCCACACGCGACAACTTGCGCAAGGTGACTTCTTGTGCTAATCACTTTCTTTGCCTCATTCCGATGGGAACCATGTGCATAGAAGCTGGATTTGGATTGGATCGTCTGCGCAGCCTTTGACTCAAGGGCTTTCTAAACCTGTCAGCTGGAGTTTGATAGACAGCGCAGCCATGTGCTCCTGGCTAGTTCAGTCGAAGAGTGCAAAGTGATCGAGTTTAGATTCCATGATGATCCATGATGTGATTTTGACGTGCCGCTTGTTGATTGTTTCATGTTCCTTGGCCATGTCATTTCTTGCTTCACTGCTTGCCTGAAGTTGTGTAGGTCCCTGCGGCGTGCAGTCACTCGCACGTCGGAGCTTCTCTCCCTGCGAAAGACCAGCCAGCGGGACCTCTGGGCATGGAACCAGATCATGACACACACACAATATGTGGCAGTCGATTGATTCAATGGTAAGGTTTTTGATGAGCTAAGCAATTTGTGTGCTGCAGGACCAACTTCGCCTCGGAAGCTACCCAGTTCCTCCTGAGGCGACCAGTTTGCATCACGTGCACGGGTCTTGCTTGGTCTGATTGTGAGCATTTAGCAGCTCAGGCTTATATTTGGTGGTGCAATCGATCTCAGGTTCCTTGGAAAAGATGATAGACTTGTTGGCGTAGCACACTTGATTGGCTTGACGGTTTCTGAGGTTCCTGGCGGCGAGATCAAGCAGACCTTCTCGCACTTTCAGCAAAAGATCATGTGGCAATGGTCTTCTCCTGTGCATGCGAGTCATTTCAGCATCTCTTGGACACCTGTGATTGTTTTCAGCAGCAGTCGCACATGTAGGCAGTGTCCGGCAAAGTTTGTCTCAGGTTCTGGAACGCCCCAACACGTTGGTACTGGCGCCTGTCCTCTTGGGTAGACTTCTCAGAAGTGCTTGCAGTTTTGTCTTCCCATTTGGAACTCAACTTTGCGAAGAAAAGCAAACTGTAGGCTTGGCCAGTCGGTGTTCCAGCCCTTCTCATGTGTGGAGCTTTGCTGCTGCTATTGGTTTGCAAGGTTGTGCTTGGTTTTTGATGCTTTGAGGTATATCTTCGTCTACAAGTCTTGTGAGTGTGACGT